GTGCACCTGGGGCCGTCTCTGCCCCGTCGCACAGCCCCGACGGTGGGAACCTCCAGGTTTTCCCTGCCTGAAGCCCTCTCGCCGCACAGAGCCGGGAGCAGAAACCGAATCCTCCTCCCCGGTGGAGAACTGCTCCGGCGTGGCAGGAGCCAGCAGAGAAGGGAGCGGCGCGTTTCCCCAGCTGCGCGCTGAGCCAGGAAGGGTGAAGCAAAGCAAATCGTGTATTTAAAGACTGGAGAATTATTAATTCCTTATTTATTGTCGACGTCCGGCGCTCGCTGCAGCTACAGAGCTCCCTTCGGAGAGGGTACCGGTGTGCGCGGTCACCATGGCTTTCTCCCAGGTGCAGTGCCTGGATGACAGCCACGTCAACTGGAGGTCCAGCGAGTCCAAGCCCGAGTTCTTCTACAGCGAGGAGCAGCGCCTGGCCCTGGAGGCACTGGCTGCCCGCGGCCCTGACGCCTTCTATGAGGTCCTGAAGAAGGAGAACATCAGGGACTTCCTCTCCGAGCTGGAGCTAAAGAAGATCCTGGACACGCTGGAGACGTACGACCCCGGCTCCGAGTACATCCCACGCCACGGCAGCAGCACGGGGGAGAGCGGAGGTGATCACAACAGCCAAGGGGATGAGCAGGACGTGGCCCCCTCCCTGGAATATTGGCCCCAGAGGTCCGACCGCTCCATCCCGCAACTGGACCTCGGCTGGCCCGAGACCATCGCCTACCGCGGGGTCACCCGTGCCACCGTCTACATGCAGCCGCCCATCGAGGGGCAAGCGCACATCAAGGAGGTGGTGCGGAAGATGATCTGCCAGGCCCAGAAGGTGAGGTGCGCTGCGGGGACAGGGCAGGATTTGCCCCCAGGCTGTCCTGCCGAGGACAGATCCTAAAGACCTGCTCAGCCAGGCAATCCCCATCCTGCCCAGAGCTCTGCCCAAACAAAGGCATCGGGGTCAAGCGTTCGGGTTTTTCCGTGTTCATTCAGGGTAACCAATACCTGGGGATCACATTTGGCTGAAGATTCTGTTAGTCTGGTCCAACACTCCCTAGGAGCCACGCGACCCTTTCCAGGATCCGTACAGCAGCATCGTTAATCCCAGGGTCCCTTCAGGGGTGTGGGGAAAGCTACCAGGGAGAAAAATGGGTTGAGCTGCTTCCCAGCTCTGAGCTCACGGTCCCAGGCGCCTCACGATCGTTATTCCCAGTGCCCTGTGTGATGGCATGTGGCAACATGCAGGAACCGGAGGAGCCAAACTCAGCCCTGGGGCAAAGCAGCCAAAGCCACTGGTCTGGTGCTGATGTGTTCGAGGGTCAAGGTTGGCCTGGATTGCTGCGGTGCTCCAGGCTGGCCTCACCCTGGCTTTAAGAGGAAAACCACGAGCCGATGTGCAGGACAAGGCTGGAGAGATGCCGAGGGGATTTGGGTTGAGGCTTGTCCTCCCTGTGGCATCAAACTACTGAGCAAGGAGTTGGGGTGCACAGGTGATGAGGTCAGGCTGGTGTCACGGGCAGGAGGCCCAGGACAGGAGGGAGACGATGGCACGGGCTGAAGGCCAGCAGTGGTGGGCAGTGGTGCTGCTATCTCCCAGTGACCCGTCCCAGCTGGGAGGCACAGGGCTGGGCAGGGGGCGGGCCGGTAGTACCTGTTAGTTTTGTTGTGCTTTGAAGCCCTTTGTGCTCTGTTCGTCCACTCCTTTGAGAAATCCAGCTCTGAGGAGCATCCCAACCCTGGGGATGCTCCAGCAGGAAAACCGCGAGGTCTTGCCAGGGCGGCTATGGAGCAGGGGGACACAGGCCAGGATGCGTCGGGTCCACCTGGCTCCAGAGACCCCCACGGGCCCGGGACGGTGCTGGGGCTCGCAGAGCCCAGCAGGGGAAAGGGAAGCATGGCGACATACAGCCACCAGAGCCTCTCCAGGAGCAGAGGGCCGGGGGGCTGAGCACAAAGAGCCCCCGGTTCTGGCAGGAAAACCGATCTCCCAGTGCGTCCGAGGCAGCCGGCTCACGGGGGTGGCTGAGGCAGGGGGGTCGCTGACGCAGGGGGTCATGGCTCCCAGGCTGAGGACAGGAGCCATCGCTGGCCGCTGTCACCTTGCCAAAGTCGAGGTGACCTGTCCTTACCCGCGCCGTTTTCCCTGCCGAAGGGTTTTGCAGCGAGGGCAAAGGGAAGGGAGGGCTGAAGTCCCACGGGATGGAGGATGGGAGAACGCCACTATAAAGAATGTCTCATCGTCGGGTCTTTCCGGCTGCCTCTGACCCGGGCTTGCAGCTCCTGCCTGGCTTTGCCTACTCACCGCTTCCCGCCTGCCCCCACCGAACAGCATCTCCTGAGTCACCCTGCCACGCTCCTGCTCAGCAGAGCCAGGCGGGTGACTCAGACAGCTGCCAGCCTGCTGCCTGCTCCATCCCCGCCTTTCCACGGAGCTTCTCCGGGCTGCGGCTGACGCTGCCGCGCTTGTCACCGGCACCTCGACGCGCCACGAGTAGGGCTGGGCTCTGCCTCCTGGTCCAGGTGGGATGAGACGTGGCGACACCCTTGGTGACACGCAGGAGCCTGCCTGGAGCTTACGGCACCCCAGGAAATGTGGAGATGGGCGCGGGCTCCAAACCTGCAGTCTGCAGGGTCTGGGGACGGCAGGAGTTGTGGGGTCTGGGGTTCTCCCAGAGATCTCCCACCCTGTTAGCACAGCTGGACGTGCTATCCCACAGCTGAGCCCAGGCGACCACTGGTGTGGGTGCTCCTAACCTGGAGGCGCTGGGCTAGACCACCCTCCGCTGCACCCGGAGGCTTCAGGCTCAAGGTCTTCACGGCAACTCGGAGGTGAACGGGTTTGGCCAAGGAAGCCGAGAGTGGACAGAGGGACGGTCCAGCTGCCACCCCCATCAGTTGTCATGTGGGCTGGCCACGCGCCCTGTCCTTCCTGCGGTGTCCCTTGGGCCACCCTGAGGATCCCTGCCGCATTGTCCCATCCCACCAGGCAATGGCAGCGCTCTTCATCCACCAGTGAAGGGGCACGGGCTTGGGAGAGCTTCAGTGCTGCATCCCGGAGCATGACCCTCACTCCAGCCGCTGTCAGACACCCGGTCCGAAACGCTCTCAGATGCCGGACACTAAACTGTGCCTCACAGGTTGCTGTCTCGCGGCCAGAGGAGCAAAGTCCACCCGCCAGACAGCCTGGCGAGGAAAGTTCAGAGCCCATGTGAGCGCGGCTGACGCTGGGGAGGCTCAGGGCAGCTCAGCGCTGGGGCGAGGAAGCCGGGAGCTGAGATTAAGGCCCCTTGGACGGTGCGGATAAACCCACTTCGTGCCGGAGCAAGGCCAAACGCTGCTGAGTGCTGAGCCTCTGCCTCGCTCCGCAGAGAGGCAAACGCAGGCGAGCCGGAGCAGGGGATGCAAATGATCCCCTCCTCTTTCTCGGAATAAACCCTGTGGCCACGGCGCTGGTCTGCCAGCAAATCCCCATCTCTGTGGCTGACGAACGGAGGTGGTCAGGGACGTGGTGCACCACCCGCCTTCACCCTGGAGACCTTCACCGGGCCCACCGCGTCTCCCTCGATGCGGATCGCCTCGGGCTGCAAAGCTCACGGGACGGGTAGGGAGGAAGGTCGCCCTCCTCTCCTCGAGATTTTGGCTCTATCTGACCAGAAACCAGAGGAGGCTGAAAACACTGACCTTGGCCAAAAGCCACCAGAGACAGCATCGAGTCTGACCTCTCGGCACTTGAGGTTCCAGGTTGAGATCGTGGTGATAATAATTACCCTGAGCAACTTCCAGCAAAGGTTGGGAGGCCCTATTAATTACTGTTTACAAAACCTTCTGCCGTTCCTGGATGAAAGGGTCGACAGGGGAGAGCAATTATTAATGTTACTTGTCCCACCTCTCCCTCATCCCAACACGCTTCCTCTAATTGTGCCCTGGTGCCTGCCTAATTTATTAACTGCCCACGTGGTGTGCCCCAAAAGTCATTATCTGATGATTCAGAGCGAGCTAATAAAGAGCTGTAATTTCCTCTATAAAACATGATCCTGCAGTTGATGTGCTCATCAAAGCCTTTCAGAAGGATCCCAACAGCCCCTGCCCAGGGTCCGAGGGGATGCGGTGCTCACCGCACCTCGGGGTGCTGGAATCCGGCACCTGCACATCTGCCGCATCCAATGGATCTCGGCAGCTCCCGGGACCTTGGGAAGAAAAGCATCACTCGCTTGGGCGCTGGGAGCATCTGGCTGTAGATTTGAGGCTGGTCTCCTCCAGATGAGCAGCAAAGGGATGGCAAAGCTTCCTGGGATGATGCAGCAGCAAAGGGGCTTTGGGAAGCCATGGACTCCCCCGGCACCGAGCATGCGGGGCACGGGTAGAGATGACGGGGACAAGAGTACCAGGCTCGCTCCCTGCAGCAGGGTGGCAGTTTGCTCCAGACACTCCCTTTCCACAGGCTGGGAAGCAAATAGCACACAGGATTTCACTTCTCGGGAGCAGACAGACCTCCATTCTTTGAAGATTAAACCCTGTACCGGGTTTGGCACAGAGCCAACCGGTCCCAGCCG